GACCCACGATCAGACTATTCATTTAACCGGTAAATAAATAGTAAAATCAGCTCAACCGAGTCATCCCGCTTCACGTATTATCCAACCAACATCATTGTTAGGGAAAAGCTAAATGTTACAATTTAATGTCATTTAAAACAATTACTTAGTTTCATTTTAAGGCATTAGTGTAGCCAGAAAAATACCTAAAAAGATACCAAAATTCACACGTTATTAAAGTGAAAAATGGTTAAATTTTGGCATGGATAACACTCAATATGCTATATAACTTTTTTTCATGATTTTAAATGTAAAAACAAAGATTTATCTTAGGCTATCATAAGTGTGTTTTTTTCGTGAAATTGTAAAACCATCATAAACCATTAGGTTACTAAGCCTATAATTTTATTTATTAATTATTTAATTTATTAAGCCTTTTTTAACAGCTTGTTTTCAGGTTATTTTCATTTTAGGGCCATGAGCTACAAGTCAAAACAAACTCGATATGTTGTATTTTAGCTCTTAAAATAGATCTACAATATATTTTGTTTAATTTTGCATGAGCAAAAAGCTGTATAGCCTAAATGACATATTTTTAAAAGATTATCATTCTGCTTACCTGCAGCGCGTGAGAGGTTTCTCAGTTGATCCGCGATAAATCCACTTAAGCACTATATTCCATTTATAACACTGCAAACTTGACTTAATAAACGCAAAAGGCATTTATTATGTGTTATACCTTGACTGCTGCTGCATAATGGGATGTTTCTCTACACAACTGTAAAAGTGCGCTTTTTAGCAAAATGAAAGCAAACATTCAAAGGGTTCTGCGTTTTGTCAATTTTAGTTTAATTGTAATAATATTAATAATAATATTAATAAATAAAATTAAAATATTATTTATAGTGTAGCCTACTGTGGGACTGTGCAGTAAACTATTTGTTTTTATTAAAACATTTTTATTAGGCTACATCTTCCCGAACTAAATGACTGGCAGTTGCGTCTCTGCTAAAATTAATTTAACAGCAAATTTCTTATGTGTTTTTTCCTTTTAGAGCTCAAGAGAGTTGTGTTTAAATAATTAGTTAACCAAAGCATGTAATGAATTAAGCTGCTCCTATCATGTCACCCACTTTTCTCCGTTGTGAGTTGAGTGCGCCTCCATCGCCGTGTGCGCGTTTTAAAGGCTATTTACGGCCGCACCTGACCTGACGCGGGGACCGGATCTCTGAACTATAGGACTAGCTTTAATATCACTATTTTCATAATTCAATTGCTATGTCATATATTTTAAAATATTTAAATGTGTGTTCTTAAGGTTGGAACGACGAGAGTGTTAATAATTAATGACAGAAAGAATTTTCAGTTTGAGCCTGGTGCGAACCAGGTTTTAATTTCTGCTGCACCATTGACAGATCACTGTTTGATTTCATAAACTTTGACACCAGTAAGAAAAAATACTACTAAGAAAGACTATTGGAAGTTCAATGCAGAACTTTTAAAGGATAAAGTTTATTGTAGTCAAATTAAAAAACCTAATTAGTGAGGTTGAGAATGATTTCTCTTTAAATTCCAGTGGGATTAAATGGGAGTACTTTAAATTTAAAACAAGGGAAATTTCTATTCGGTTTGGTAAACAAAAGAGAAGCGACATATTGCAAAAAGAATTAAGAATAATTCAGGAAATTAATGATTGCTGTAACACACGATATGGTTAAAGATGTGGAAAAGTGAATCACTTTTCAAGCTAAATTAGACAGCATGTATGTAATGAAAGCACAAGGAGCTTTTGTAAGGTCTTGGGCAAAATGGATGGAAGAAGAAGAGAAGAACACAGCTTACTTTTGTCAATTAGAAAAGAGGAGACAGCAAAGTAATGCAATTCATACTTTAGTTATTAAGGATACAATAATTACGGATTCTAAACTGATATCTGAGGAAATATATTCATTTTATAGTAATATTTATTCTTCATCATATTCTGAAAATTATGCTATTCAATTTCTAGAAAAGGTTAAAGATTATATCCCACAGATAGATATTGAATTTAAAGAAATGTGTGATGAGGATTTGAAGCTAGAGGAACTTAAAGCAGCTATTAAAAAAATGTGTTTGGGTAAGTCTCCTGGTCAGGATGGTTTGACTACTAACTCCTACAAATTTTTTTGGGAGAATATAAAACATTTGTTATTTGCAGCATTAAAATAGTGTTTTAATTCTAATACTTTACTTACAACTATGAAACAGGGCTTAATTATTCTTATTCTAAAGGCAAACAAAGATAAAAGAATTATTGAGAATTTGAGGCCGATTACTCTACTCAATGTGGATTATAAAATTCTTACATCTGCTATAGCTAATAGATTGAAATTTAGATTGAATCAAGTTATAAGTGAAACTCAGTCTGGTTTTATTAAAGGAAGGCTAATTCACAACAACATTAGACTTGTCTTAGATCTAATTGATTATGGACATTTAATTAAAGAGGATGGGTTTGTTTTTATTTCTTGACTTCTACAAGGCATTTGATACTGTAGAACATAATTTTATTTTGAATTTTTTTGGTTTTGGTCATAAATTTGTTAAAGTAATAGAAATGTTATATAAAGACATAAATAGTTCAGTATCATTACCATTTGGGACTTCGAAGAGGTTTAACATTAATAGAGGCATCAGACAAGGGGATCCAACAAGCCCATATTTATTTATTTTAGTAGCTGAATTATTAGCATTGTATGTTAAAAATTGCAGAGCTATCAGAACTTTGAATGTTTTAGGGAGTCAATTAATAATAAGTCAACTAGCAGACGATACCACCCTGTTTCTCAGTAATGCAGAGCAGATTTCAGTTGCCATTAATCTGGTGTCTCATTTTTCAAATGCTTCTGGTCTGCAATTGAATTTAAAAAAATGTGAGCTTATGGCAATCCATAACCATACCGAAACACAACTGTTCAATATTCCAGTTAAAAATGAGGTAAAATACTTGGGTGTTGTTATTTCCAAAGACCCTAAAGATAGGGAAAAAGCTAATTTGATGGATAATTTGATAAAAAGTCAAAAAATATTAAATTTGTGGGTTCAAAGGGATCTATCTATTTTTGGTAGAATTGTTTTACAAAAGTCAGAAGCACTTTCCAGGATGATTTACCCAGCTTTTTCTTTACAGATTTCTGATAGGTACGTTAAAAATCTGAATCAAATGCAATATAAATTTCTATGGAAAAATAAGCATCATTTTCTAAGAAAATCAGATGTAGTGAAACCAATCATTGAAGGTGGATTGAATGTAATTGATTTTGATGTTATGAATGGTACCCTTAAGCTGAAGTGGCTTCAAACCTTCCTTCGACATAAACATTCTTTCTGGTTTAGGTTTTCTTCTAAAATTTTTGATTTCTTTGGGGGCATAGACTTTCTGTTAAGATGCGATTTTGAGCCATCAAAGTTAAAGTGTAAATTGTCATCTTTTCATAGTCAGGTATTACAGTATTGGAAGTTAATATACAAACATAATTTTTCGCCACATAGCTGTTCTTTGTGGAATAATAAGTATATACTTATTAAGAGGAAATCTGTGTTTTTTCAAGAGTGGATGGACAAAGGTGTTTGGTCTATTTTACAAATTTTGGATGGGGTTGGAAATTTCCTTAATTATGATGATTTTTGTGAAAAATACTACATTATTTGTACTTAGAAATTGTATTTGTCTTTGTTGAAAGCTATTCCTGGTGGTTTGGTTCAGCTAATCAAAGGGGAATTGGGTTATTCTTCTGTGATACCAAGATTGGGCAACCTTATTATTTCTGGTATTAATTTTACTGGGCAGAGCTGTAATAATAAGACCTTAAGAAGGTTAGTAAATACACAGCTTTTCCCTTCTAAAGTTAAGAAAAGACCCCTTGTTTTAGATTTTCCAGAAGACAAGGTGGTTCGAATTCGAACAAGATTTCTCTCTTTTCCACTTCTACCAAAGGCAAAAGAAGTTCAGTTTAAAATTATTAACGATATTTATCCTTGTAATGAGTTCCTCAGACACAGATTTAATTTGGATTGTAACGTTTGTACCTTTTGTGAAGCAGACATAGAGTCATTGGAACATTTGTTTTATTTATGCAAATTTTCAAAAAAGTTATGGGATGACATTACTGTTTGGTTAAGATTAAAATATGTAATACCTGATTTTGATTTTAAAACTGTAAAATATTGATCTTTTTGTCAGAATTCTGAGCTGGAATTTTTGGTTAACAATATTGTGACTTTGGCAAACTATTTCATTCATAAATGCAGATTTTTTAATAACCCCCCACTTTTCTGCGTTTCCACAAGGATTTAATGGTCTTCTTCAATTCCTTAAAGCTGATGAGACATAAAAAAGCCCTTAAACTGTGTAGTCTGTTAAAGGCATTTTTGATGATTAACCCCTTTGTATTTTAGTGCATTGTATTTTGCTTTTTATTTATTTCAATTTTATTATTTTTTAATATATATTTATTTGTTTTTTTATCTGTTTTTTATGTGAATGCTGCTATTTGGACTTTAGATGAATAAGATGTTTCTTTGTTCGGTCATTTGTTCTTTTTTCTGTATGTTCTTATAAGATCTAATAAAAAAAATAAAAAAACTATTGCACCATTAAAAAAAAAAAAAAAAAAAAACTTTAAAACGGAAAAACAAATCGCCAATAGGTGGCAGCAAGAGACCGCTTTAATCGAGTGAAGCTTTAAGTGATTCATTCAGCCACGAATCACTGATTCAGTGACTCGCCCGACTTTATACAGAGTCCTGAATCATTCGTGTAAGGAAACGCCACTGTGTATTATTCAGAGATGTACAACTGTTCTGCTGTTTATTTTATTATTATCATAGTAATGATTTCACTATTATTAATGAGAAAATAACGCGGAAGTTTTTTAGCGCCTTGTCACGTGATCGTCAGCATCCATGGCAACGGTTCTTTTTGTGTTGTTTTGAACTTCGCTCTGTCATTGGCATCTGATCTCGCCGTCCTTCGTGGCAACTGATTCCCAGATTATTGATATTATTGATTGTTGGATACATCGATTGATCGCCTGCTGCTCCCTTCATTCAGGTTTGACCCTTGTTATCACACTGTGTTTTGTGTTTAGTATGTCTTGTGTTCATTACAGGTTTCAGAGTCGACTCACCTACGACTCGCTCCAGTTTGAGGGCCTCAACATCACTGTGGGAGAGCTGAAGCGGCAGATCATGAGGCGCGAGAGGCTGAAGTTCTGCCAGCTGAAGATCAGCAAAGCCCAAACTGATGAAGGTGAGATGAGGAAAAGCCACTTAAACTATATTACACTAACATTAGATGTGTTATCAGACAGACTTGTAGAAGCTGACATGTGTTATCATGACTCTGATGGTGACATATAGTGATGTTTTGAGTGTTTTAAAATGCTAATGGCACTCAAAGTATACCATGGTAAATGATTATTACTATATTCAAACTTTATTTTGCTGTCAGAATACACAGATGATGATGCTCTCATCCCCAAAAACATGTCGGTCATCATCAGACGGGTCCCTGCTGCTGGACTGAAGTCCTCCAACAGAAGATTTGTTGGGTAAGTCATGTGAAATGAGCGCAACCATCCTCTGATAGATGTTATATCAAGAGTTTGAGTCTGTCTGTGGTGTTTTAGTCACACAAGCTCCTTTGTTTTGCAGACATCAAGCTGGACCATCAGCTAAATCTTCTCAAACAGGTGATTCTTCACTCCTCTCACTGGAGCAGCTGTTGAAGGTATTGAACAAATGATTAATTCACCCCACTGTGCTGCTCTGTATTGAACTGCAGTGTTTGCATTTGAGGCGTCATAATGACATGTAGTGCAGAATATCAATACACAGTGTAAAACACACAAACGCACACACACACACACACACACACACACACACACACACACACACACACACAGCTTCTTAAGCAGACCAGTAAAATAAAATTCTAATGTGCAAATGCCTGTGAAACAGACTGAGAATCTGGCTGAGGCAAAGGCATCAGAGGAGGACAAGCTAAAAGCGGTGATGTACCAGTCCAGTCTGTGCTACTACTCCAGCAGGTGAGCGTTCAGACACTGACAGGTTTGGTTTGTGAGAAATGTTAGAGCTGATTCTCATGGTTCTGATGTTCATCAGTGAGGCCATGACACTGCTTGGGCTTCTTCCACCCAACTATGTCTGCTTTCACTGTGGGATCCCAGGACACCACATTAGGCACTGCCCCTCTAAAGGGGTAACTGGGTTTTCTAAGCTTATGGTTGCTGTGAACTTGAGCTCATGTCTCCATCAGTCAGATTGTTTGCTCTGTCGTTTGACTGTCACTCATGAATTCACAGGGCAGCAGCTCTGCTCCACACAAGCGCATCCGGAGGAGCACAGGGATTCCCCGCAGCTTCCTGTTGGAGGTGGACGACCCAAACCGAAAGGGAGTAATGATGGACGGCAGCGGCAAATACGTCATTCCCATCATAGACGCGTGAGTAAACTGTACTTGGCATTGCAGCATGTTCTAGTGTTTGTGAAAATCTCACATTATGTCTGCTTGTGTGTGTTTGCGCTCGATCTGTTCAGTGAGGCCTATGCTGCTGAGAAGAAAAAGAGGCCGTCCTTCTCCTGCCAGACCAAGCCGCTGTCCTCCTCTTCCTCAGCTGGTGCAGCATCTTCAGTCCAGGACGCCAGAGGGAAACGTTCCCGCTCCCCATCTCCACCAGAGACGCACAACGACCAGAAGAGACCACGTCACTGAGAGACCTTCACCCAAGAGACCTGGAGCCGACGTGAGCAAAGTGTATATATTGTACATAGTTTATGAATAAAACTGAATAAAGATTATAGCAGCATAAACTGTGGACTGGTTGACCTTCACACAATACAGAAACACAAAAGAAAATGATCAACACATTAAGATAGAAATGATGAACAAACATGCTGCGGGAGAACCAGTGTGCTGTCCTGCTCACAATCTAAAACTTTTAGTTAAAGTTTATTGAATGTTAATCTGAAAAAAATAAAACGCTGAACAGCTTTTATAGTATTCAATAGTTTTCCTCAATAAGGGGAAAAGTTCAAGAAACATGGAAGAAAAGGCGGCATGTACATATTTTTAAAAATCCATTGGAATGACAAAGATGTGCATGCTCTAATAAGTCATTTTGGCTGTGTTCATATGGTGTCCTTTGGTGGTTTCTATTGCTGTTGTTGTTTACTGATTAGCTGGCTTAAGCAAATAGATTTCTTTAAAATGTAGCTATTAAGGGAAAAAATAATGTATCTTTATATATATATATATATATATATATACACATGGCCTCACTGTAGGAAGGCTGCTGGTGGGAGTCCCGACTGGGTCAGATGGTGTTGTGTGGAGTTTGCTTGTTCTCTCCGTGTTCATCCTCTGGGTGCTCCAAACCCACCCATGTGCTATGCTGTAGGTGAATGAATAAACTAAATTAGCCATAGTGTGTGTGTGTGTGTGTGTGTGTGTGTGTGTGTGTGTGTGTGTGTGTGTGTGTGTGTGTGTGTGTGTGTGTGTGTGAATGAGGGTGTATGGATATTTCCCAGTACTGGGTTGCAGCTGGAAGGGTATCCGCTGTGTAAAAAATATGCTGGATAAGTTGGCAGTTCATTCCGCTGTGGCGACCCCAGATTAATAAAGGGACTAAGCTAAATGAAAATGAATGAATAAATTGATTGATTGATTTTATTTGACAATTTTAACAAAAATATACAAACAAGTCCAGTTTGACATTCATATCTTAAAAACTGTCGAGGATAAAATACACAATAAAGCCACAGGCTGATTTCCATCGTGGTCATCGATATTCTTAAAAAATGAACGAGCAAATCATAAAGTGCAAACATCATCAGCTCAGAAACTCAGCACAACAAAAATCCTCAACTTCAACCGTAAAACAGCCATTTTTTAATTTCCTCTCTAAAAACTCTCAAATTGAATCTCTTTAAAACTCCTCGGCAGTATATTCCAAGCAACAGTACACAGAAAAGACTTTCTACCTGTTTCACTATTAATTCTACAAGGACAAATACCCCTGCTACTCGCTCTTGTAGAATGACAGTGTACCTCACTAACTAAAACTTAATAAGTAAATATTTTGGGACCATTTTCTTTAAAATCTTAAACACCATCACCAATTTCCGAAAAGTGACCCTTTTTCCAACTTTTAATAAATTAGTTTGACTATAATATTTATTATTTAAATGTGTCAGTAGAAGTACTTTGATAACAATTCTGCAACTTATTTTGGGCCGTCTGCAATTTATTTTTAAAATTTTTGTGGAACTACTGCAAAAGACTGCAGCATAGTCAAAGTATGACTGCACTAATGCACTAGCCAATATTTGTAAAGTTTGGAAATCTAAGAGCTCTGTCTGTCTTGCTAAAAACTTAATTTTAGAACTTTTGATTGGACTATAACAGCCATCTTCTCACCTGTCAAATTACTGTCTGAAATGCAACCTAAATATTTCCCTTCATGTTTGTGTTCATTAATTTGATGCTCTACTTTTACCTCTGATCTGACACATTTTCGCAGTTTCGCAGTTGAACCAAATAAAATAAATTCTGGTTTACACAAGTGTAAGGACAATTTAATAAGGTTAAACCATTAAGAGACTTCCTCAGTTTGTTTACTTTTTTCATTTTCAATAAATTCTTTCCTCTCATGAGACACAATTATTGCTGCATCATCCGCATTTAACAAAAGCTTTTTTGAACAGGCCATTTTCAAATCATTGATGTATATTAAAAAAGCAAAGGACCTAAAACACTGCCTTGTGAAACCCCATAAGAAACGGTCGAATAATCTGAAAACACACCATTTAAATCTACTATTTGACATCTGTTTTCAAGGTAAGACTTCATGCATTTACAGGCCAAAACACCAAAACCCATTGCCTTTACTTTTAAAATCAATATCCTGTGATCGACTGTATTGAAAGCTTTTTGCAGGTCTAAGAAAACCATCCCACTTAACTTCCTTTATCCATATCGCTCTTTATATAATTTGTTAAATAAAAGAAACTGTTGAATCAGTGGAATGATTTTTCTAAAACCCGATTGAAACTCTACAATACGTCACATTTTAAACAATATTTTTCAATGTGCTAATAAATAACTTTTTCCCTCCCTTTTGACAAAGCACTCAAAATTGATACCAGCCTAGAATTATTAACCTCAAACCTACTACCTTTCTTAAAAAGAGGAATAACTCTTGCTTTTTTCAACTTTACCTTGACAAATAGAAAAATTGATAATATGTGTAACCATCGGAGTGACGCATTTAGGGAGTCTTTGAGGGAACTGCACTGGAATATTATCTAACCCTGTTGCTTTACTATTTTGAAGTGTTATTAATTTCTTAAATATATCCCCCTCCTCTATTTTATTAAACAAAACTTTCTAGATTAAAACTGCATTTGGCATAATACTCTATAACTAATTTATCAATAAAAATGCCATTTTGTACTGGAAGCTTTTTAACCGTCAATATCAGGTGGTATTAAAAAAATAATTAACAATGTCATAGTCAGATATAATTAAAACAAACATGATGAAGCCAGTAAATCTGGTTGTGACCTACCCGTGTGTTACTTTTGTTTCTGATGGGGCCAAAAATTATAATGTGCAATTTATGTTTAAAGTAAAATTATTCTCTATATTTATTTTTTAATTTGATATATTTTCAATTAAATTCAATATATTTCTGTCTAAGGCATATTTTTAAAATATAGACATGAAATTGAGATGATTTTTGTATTTTTGTTTACAAATAAACTTTCTGAAGTCTGCTAGTAAACTTTTAATTATTACTTACTATTAATAATGCATAGTCATCATGCATCTCTAAATCTTTATTTCTTCAGTTTTACAGTTAGAAAGACAAATCAAAGTTTAAAAAAAAAATTATGTAAAAGTCTGCGTCTCTCTGTGTCGCTCAGGCTGAACTGAAGTGTCTATTCACAGGCACGATCCCACTACTGATCAGCACGGGAGCTTTGACCTGCTGCGTTTCTGACCTGGGCCGGTTCACTCCTCCTTAAACGACCTGGCGGTCCCAAGCTCACCCAGGAGCACCATATCGATACCGAACTTAGTGCGGACACCCGATCGACATAGTCCACTGCAGTCCAGAAGCCCTGAGCTCAAGCGATCCGCAGCCTCAGCCTCCCAGTAGCTTGGATTACAGGCGCGCGCCACTGAACCCGGCTAGAGCTGAGAGAATCAGAGCTGTGGAGAATCTGATCATCACAGCGAACTCTAGTGGAGGAAAACTCACTTTTATAGAAGTAAACTAATGCTTTAATAACCTGTGCTAATAATCATTCACTTACAATAGCATTATAGTTCACTATTATCCAGCAAGTTTTTACGCAGCGGATGCCCTTCCAGCCGCAACACATCTTTGGGAAACATCCACACACACACACACACACACACTCATACACTACAGACAATTTAGTCTACCCAATTCACCTGTACGGCATGTCTTTGGACTGTGGGGGAAACCGGAGCACCCGGAGGAAACCCACGTGAAGGCAGGGGGAAAATGCAAACTCCACACAGAAACTGCGCCACTGCCTCGCCACCTTCACTATTAGGAATTCATAACTTGATAATCCATTGTCTGTAATATTTTTATTGCATGAGTAAAATTTGCATCTCACTGATTTTTCGTAATAATTAAAACAATGGTAAATCTTATGAATGATTAGAAATGATCCTTATATCAGGGATTATTCATTGCAGTCTTCTTGTTTTGTTTTAATTCATTGATGCAAATTAGGTCTGTAAATCATTTTTCATTATTCTGTAAACATTAAATGAGATCTGAATCACTAACCCTAAACAAAAGAGATTTTGAATTAGAAACACTCAATAATATGAATCAGCCTTTCAGTTCAAGCCTGCTGCAGTCGCTCTTCTTCTTGGAAAGGTCAGTGCTGATCCTTGTTCTGCAGATTCTGACGTTTTAAATCTGCTTGTGGTGTTTTATTTATTTGTATATGGGTGTAGGGTCCACCCAGTTGGTCCAATGACGGTATCCAA